ATGGTAGTGTAGCATGATTGATTGCAATAACAATGCCCTCACCTTTTGACTTCGACAACTAAAATCTCTGGAACCATTCAACAAATCCACCTCAAATTTTGTGAAGATATTTTAGCAGCTATGGTCACAAATATATCACAAAGATGACACACGCCGTTTAAAACAAGTTTATCATGACACAAAGTTTTACATTTTAAAAAAAATTGTACTCTCGTTCAAAATGGCAACACGAAGTATTGAAGCTAGAGTTATCAAGAATTGTGTAACAAACGATAAGCTGGTGGAGGCAATTGTAATCCAAATCGAGTTAGTTTCTTCAAATTGTTGCAGAATTAAAAGAAAGTGGGATCTAGGTCGATAATACTTTCAAAACATGTTACTGATAGATAATTTTAGATGGTACAAGACTTGATTTCATTTTATTGTTTTTTTTTTTAACCTTCTACATTTTACTTGCACAAAAGTATATTTTCTACTTATTTCTCTAGCCTTTTTTATTTACACTAAATTTATTTGGAAAATTGTGATTCTTATGAGATGAAATTGAAAAACTAAAAATAAAAATATTAAAATATTGTAATTTCTCCTACACTTAATTAAATTGGCTATACAAACTTGCATTTTTCTCAGTTTTTCAGGTAGACATTTCATGCATATATTTCCCAAGTTCTAACCCTTATTTTTTTCTCTATCTACTAAGCAGGCTACAAAATGTTGATTTTCAGACAAATATTTCATTACTTGAATGTTGTACACAAAATCAGCACTTTTCCTAATATCTAGCGTTTTAGAATTAATCTTCTATCTCAATACGATAATCCGCTATTCATTTAAAACCCTCTTGGGGAGATTTTTACAAGATTTCAATCCAAATTTGGACCGTTGGAAAAGTAGGGTAAACCCCTTCCAGCCGTAATTTACGACTAAACATTTGGTAAATTACAATAACTATCCTTTTTTAAACAAATTGAATTAAATAGCAGAGGGTACATTGTTAATTTTGCAAAATGTGGCCAATTAGTGCGGTTGCTTTTCAAATTATAACAGTAACAATTTCCATTAAAATTTGCTGATAACCAGTTCCAAACATGCTCTAAAACTTCAGTATTTTTCATATTACAACAATTAACCATTATTGTGATGAAAATAGTGTAATGAATAGTATTTTTTGGAGAATGTGTGGTTAAAATTGAAAGAAATTTTATTGGGTGTATGTGTAGAATATTTTATTATTTGAATGTGTGGTGTAGATTGATTACTGTAGAAAACAATGTTTTGAAAAATGGTGGACAAACAGGGGCTAAATTGTCATATTATATGTGCAAGTTAATTTAAGCAACTTAAGTTGAGCACAAAAGCTAGTAAAATTCATTATAAGTAATTATATTCCTTGAGCAGAAAAACCCATTTGACTCTCAGTTGATGCCACTGTAAAAACTGGACAAAAAAGTTTATAATGGAAAAAAAAAAAAAAATCAATTTATTTGCAAGATTATTATACAGACACGACGTATATATAATTGGACGTGCGAGGAAGGTCGTCGAGAAAAATCAGACAGCGGGTCCAAGTTATAGACTTTAGAGAGAAAGATGGCATCGTTCGACGCATACAGCACGGACGGTGACGGTGCGCGTCAATTCGACGACGGCGGGTACACCGGCTACGACGAATCCTACACCGCCTTTTCCTCTGCTGACACTCCGACTCACTCCGCCGCCGGCGGAGGAGGTTACACTGCAGAATACGGCGAGACGGAGGAGGAGACGGTGGATCATGTAGACAGTCCGGATCCGTTCGGGCACGGGTCGAATCCGAATCCTGATCCTTTCGGATCATCCACCACTGTCCCGATCTCGAATGGCAACGTGAAGCCGCCATATGATATGGGGGGAGATTCGGAGGGAATATTCAGCTCCGATGGGCCGATTCTTCCGCCTCCCTCTGAATTGCATCCTGAAGAAGGATTCGCTCTTCGTGAATGGAGGAGGTCAGATATTTTTAGTTGAATCTTGGTTAATTTTGATTTGGATAAAGTTTTAGTGCTGCGAATTTATACACACTTTAGATCTGCTATCTAGCTTTTGTCTTGCATTTCCATTCATTTTCTTGAGGATTTTTCATACATTGATTTATTTATTTAGTGGAGATTCTTGTTTCTTTGATCCTTTATTGATATGAAACCAAATAGAAATTCAGATTTGGATTTTTTGATTATTCTCTCAGGTGGATGGTCAGAAACAATATATTTACAATCATAAACAGGGTAAATTTTAGTGGTAGTTTTGTGAAAAAATGTTTTATTGAATTAAAAAAGCTCCCTGGTAATCATTTGATGGTTGAGTAGTTGTAAGTTAAGGATCTAACTTGGATTTAATGGCATATGATATGGGTTTTGTGAAGGATTGAAGCTGCGGTTTTTATTCAGATCCACGTTGTTGTGGTTGTCTTTAAAATTTGAACTAGCACAGTTTATTAGTATTTTGTAGAACTTAAAAGAGTGACGAAGTCCATATTGACCACACTGGTTCTCTTCACCTGAGACTTGAGATGATTTTATTTCAAAATTTGACACTTAAGACCCAACATAAAATTACTGTGTTAGTGGTTCAAATTTGGGTTTATAACAATGACATTGGATAAATGCTTCAAAGGGTTTTGAGTATTTGGAAGATAACTATTGAGTTAAATACCATTGGCATGGAATGGCTATTAGACTCTGTTTATGATCCTTAGTTTTGAGCCATTAAAAGGAAAATACCCTTAATACAACCATAATACTTAAAGGGACACCAAAATATTTGTGTGCCACATTAGAATGGATGAAATAAGAGATAACGATACATCAATAACTAGTGGTGACACTGCGTAGATGGTCGGTTATGTCTTACGTAGTCTCTTGAAGAAACAATTATTTTCAGGAGCAGTGCGATCACGGTGGAAAAGGTTCTGGAAAAGGCCAAGTGGACTAAAAATGAACACAGCTTAATGTGATTGTAGATGATTGATTTTAGTGGATCTTTCATTGACTGCGGTGGTTGAAATTATCAAGAATGAGTTGGTTTCCAAAAAAAAAAAATAGAAAATGTAGAATAGACCTTAGTCATTCAGCAGGTGCATGAGCATGAAATTGAGAGTTGTTGCTCTGGTATTTGTGTTAATATGCTGATTGGTACTTTCAAGGAACAAAGTTCTATTATAGCCTGTATAATCTGATGCTACTTTGGCCGTTGAAAATATTCCGTAATAGATTTTAGTTAGCTTAATTCTTTCTTCTTGCTCCAGTCTAGTATACATGGAGAGACTCTTTTAAAGTAAAGCACATGGTCAATAAAATTATGCTGAAATTTTGTGGTGAAAGTTATACTAGACTGCTAAATAAATATTAAATACGGATAACTATATATCGTAAATGCTAAGCATTTCGCGAATTGAACCATCATAGTAAAACCTTTGAAATATAAGCTCCAAAGGCATAGTACACCGTATTTGACAGGTGATAGGATTAGGGGGGTTGTTCTAATACAATGTTTGGTGCTACCCCGTATTAGAACACTATACAAGTAATGAAAAATAATAAAAAAAATAAAAATTATTACAATATTTTTGTATGAGTACTTTTTAACTTGTTGAGTGAATTTTTTAATTATAATTTCTTGTATTTTTACTTTACTTGTAAGTGAAATTTTTACTTATGAAATAGTTATTTTGATATACTTAATATTTTTGACTTAAAAGTGAAATTTTTACTTATAAATAAAAAATTTTAGTCATAATTATTTTTTAACTTATAAGTAAACTAACTTATAAGTGCATTTTTACTTATTAGGTTGCTTTTTTTATCTCCTCAATAAAGTTGAAAGCTAGTTTTACCAATTATATGACAAAGGAAGAAGCAAGGGATTGAGCTGTCTGAGCGTA